TTAAAAATTATCTGACAAATTAAATTAACTAAAAACAAAATATAAAACATTATATTATATTCAGTACATTTAACTTGAGAAAGAGGGAATTTTATAACACCCTTTACAATTCTTTGGTTTTTACAATAAAATCGCTTTCTAGGATCTAACCATTATATAACTATTGGTCTGCGACTCAGGTAGCGAACATTGTACGTAAGTATATCGGCTTATATCTTATCGTTAAGCTGCGTCCAGCTTGCAGTAAAAGAGCAAGATCGAAATCGAGAGCGTACATTACGGTTAGCAGATTCGATCATCGTTCGCGATTACGGCGAGACTCTCCCTGTATGTCGATTTCGCTTCTATCGCGACGGTTTGATAAAATCGGTCGGTGCCGCCATAACGTTCACATATACACACACGCATACATATATGGTTATCCACGCACATTCGGAAAACAAAGTAACGATCAAAATGCCACTGCTATGAGAGCGCTAATGGCAAACGTTTTCCGTCGAAATGGACGAGTTTCGAAATAGCACGTCGAAAATCGCTATCGAAACTCGAACAATTGCCCCCCCGCAATGTGACGAGAAATGGTTTAAATCTGCTAAAAGGATTGACGCGACGAGTTTAGTAGAGAAACTAAAATTGCGTGTACTGCAATAACACAACTTACTTATTTTATACATATATTGGAGACCAATTTGGAAGCTATAAACAATGGAATGGAAAGTAACTACAATGTGTAACTGAACAATAAATTGGGAAATATAGTGCGGCGAATGTTATTAAGTAATTCATTTGTTTACTGATACAATTTTGGATCAATAGATATACAGATACAATAGATATACATTATTGATTAGTTATTGATTAATATATTGTTTCAAGCAATAGTAAATCTCAAAAAAAAAAAGAATGAAAATTAAATCTGTGATGTTTAATACAATTTGTTAAATATAATTAGTAATTTACATATTTTTTTAATTGTTTTTTATTTCGTATCACGTTCTGTAGAATAAATTTTAAAGAAAAACGGCTGGAAATTGAGATATGATTATTTTCATGATCGTTCGTTTTTCCCTTAAATTTTTCCAAATTTAGTGTACCGGCGGTTGTGTGGACAAGCGAAGGTTCGTAGCGATAAACTGTCGCAAAATAGCGGCGTAAAAATAAAAATAACGATCAGGCTCGGGGCTACATTGCAATCGGCGTTCAGACGTTTCCCACCGAAATGCTTGCTCTCAAAAAGAGCGTCTGGCTTCAGCTTTTAACTGGAAAGCCGGGTTTGCGTGGAACGTGCGGAACCCGCTGGGCCCTGAATACATCGAATAATCTTCGATGTCGCTAACGAGAGTGCACCCCTCGCCGGTAGTTTACGGGAGGTTCCGGTCCGAAGTTGTACCAACTCACGCCAACTTGCTATAATAGACGCCTAACGAGATAGCCGAAGCTGAACGCGAGCTATCGCTGTTTCGAGGAACACGTAGCTATCGTTAAATACGATGTAACAAATGTTAGAAAAAAAAGAGAGAGAAAGGATACTTGTAACGTCAGGTCGCACGCTACTTTCTCGTTAATTCAAGAGAAAAACTTCGCAAAAGAAATAAATGGAAAAGGAAAGGAAGAAAAAGCGAATCATCCTACGATTATAATAGAAGACAAATTTTATAATAATAATAATTTATAATACTGTAAAATTCAATCAATAAATCTTAGAAAGGATTATGTTAACATTAATCTAGATTAAGAATTAATTTAATGTAATTTAAATATGAGAGATTTTTTTTTACTGTTCCTCTCACCCCTCTCTCTCTCCCTCTCTCTCTGTCTTTTCTTTTCTAAATACTTTTAATATTGCTTACATATTCATTTACAAGCCGTGGAAACTTCTATAACACATGTGATATGATTACAATCATGATAACTGAATCCCAATGGTGCAGGTATAATTAATATGCATTAGGAACTTGACTATTGCTATCGCTAAGCAAAATCTGATCAAATTATTGGAACGCGCAGTACAATAGATACACTGTTAATAATGTTTCTTAATCATGCAAGATATATGTGACACTAATCAGTAATATATATTCCTGAGTTTAGATTATATATAATTTAAATAATAATAACAACACACGATGTCAAGAACGATATTTCCTAACATTTATTAAATATGTATTTAACTGACTACAGTTTTATATTAATGTCAATGTATAATAATATTAATAATATTTTAATATTATCCTACTAAAAAATGTATTTAATCAATAAAAATTTAAATAATTAAACTAAATAATTAAACTAAATTAAATTAAATTAAATTTACTTTGAATCGCATTTGTTAACTCTTTTTGAACCAACTTCTTTGCTTTTACATATTTCAAATCTTTAGAATTAATATACAATTAAATATGTAAAAAATTAAAAATATGTTTTAATAATAATTGCAAGGATAAATCGAAATTCAATTATATTATTTACGTTTACATTTTTACGTTACAGTTTTAAATTAAGTTAAACATTAATTCTAATGTCTACCTAATTTTTAATACTAAAATTATCTGAAATGAATTTTGGCAAACTGATGTTACGTAAAAATTATAGAAAAATAATGTGGATTTTACAATATTTTATTATGTCTACAATTATAATTAGACATCAGATTTTTATGCAGATATTTTTGCAAAATATGCAAATATGCACAATATGCACAAATAAATATGCATTTATAGAATGTTTTTTAATAAGATAAATTTCCATTTTGATGTTATTTTCCAATCTGCTTTCTAAAAAAATATGAAATTGCATAAGAATCCGATGTCTAATTATAATAATCTATAAATTTACAATATATCCAGCAACTATATTTACCTCTAACTGATCTCTAATTATATTTATCTCTAATTATACATAGACATATGTATCTTACGAACATAGTTTACATTGATTTGATTTTTCTCTTGTAGCACATAACGCAACATTCATTAATAATAATGAGATTTGTATTATTTGTATTATTTGTATTATATGTATTATATTAAACTAATTAGACGCGATTTCGTCAAAGAAAAAGTACGTTTGTTAAACGCGAAACTATAGGCATAATAAATCGTGTAAAACCTAATAATCCCATTTTTTCACTACATTTACAATTAGTATTTCATACAAATTAATTATAATTATAATTAATTTTAATACGAATTATAATCGATATGAAATTATCAACAATAATGCCTTCAATAGTAATTAGCTTTTTGAAATTGCTGTATTTATTTTGATGAATGGTAGTGTATGCTGGCTCTCCGAGGATTATAAATATATAAAACTTATTATAAAAAACTCACATATGTGCTTCTTTTTATTTATTATTAATTATTAAAACTTATTGATTTTGCTATAAAATTAAACTATATATTTAAAGACATGTATTAATACGTAACTGTCAAATGAAAATTTAGAAAATTATTTATTTAGATTTAGAATATTTGTAGTTATTTGTAGTTATTTTATTTAATACACACATATTAATAATTTAGATTTAATACATCAAATTTAAAACATTTTATTCAATACATACATATTATTATAATACATACTTATATTTAATACGAAACCATAATCGAAAATAATATAAATTAAAAATATTATAAAAATATATAAATGAAATACGTAAACTTTGACAAAGAGTATCTATATATAAAAAGCTTTATTAAGAATATATGCTTGTGATTATATATATAATAGCTAATATAATTAATAATAGTAAATTATTCACGTCTTAATACAAAACTTATCGTTTATTTTTCCCAAAGTATATATATGTATGTAATTTAATTTATTTTAAAAATAATTATATACATAATTTTATACTATATAATAAAACATATGTATACATGTAATGAATTAAAAATTCTAAATATTCATTGTAATACTGTCTTTTATGAGGGGGGGAAGGCGGATACTTTTAATATTTAAATTAAAAAAAAATAATGTATTACAAAATTATAATACGTATTACAATTTATAAAAATTTACGTCAGCAGCATTGCTATTCATTCTTTGCTTTATATATTTTATTGAATAAATCTAAATGAATCCAAGTATAGTCTGAGATTGATTTAGTTTCATTATAATAATTGAAATTTTTTCTAAAAGTTACTTATATATACAATGAATTTGGGGATTTCCGTGTATAATTTATTAATCAGGCCTATCGAAAATTTGTCAAAAATGGACTCCAATGGTAATTACAGTAACATCAAATTTATCACTAAGAAATGCTATCAAGTAAAAGCAATAGTAAGATTGGAAACAAAACTGTTTATGTGAGTATTTCAAAAATATGCGCGCCGTTACTATTCGGACTTTCAACACATCTAAAATATTAATAATCCTAAATTAGATTAAAAAGAAAGAAAGAAATTTATTGCGAAAAATATTACCTTAGTCGGGAGTCGAACCGGGGTATCAAATAAAAGGTGTTATCATTATGCTTAAAAATGTATAACTCGCTCATTATAATATATACGGAATATTGGAATCCATCGAATAAAAAATTCAAAATTGAAACTTTCAATAAAACTTACTTGCGCAAGAATATTTTCATTTCCAATAAAAACTAATTTCAACATGAAGTATATTTTGTAAATCTGAAATAAACCTTTTCATATTTTTTTTAAGTTGAATATCTTGAACATGATTTTTATCTCATTTCAAATCTACAAATTCGTATTAAAGTTTATAAAAATAATTATTAATTGTTTATAAAAGTTTTAGTTTATATAATGTATCTGAAGAAGAACTAATCGGGAATTTAATCAATAACAGTGTCATGTGTTATTAATTGGAATATGTAATCTGAATTCTCTCTCTTGGTTAAAGTAGCAACTTAAAGTAAGTTAAAATAGTTAAATTGCTGTAACTTTATCAAAGTTCTCGTGCAAATTGAGAGAAGAATCGAAACAGTAATAAAATTGCAATTACCTAACAAACAAAATTTTTTATTTTTTCAGGTCAAGTCATTTTCAACACCAACTCGCGCCGAGAACGGTACCATGTTATTCTGTCGATTAGAGATAAAAGACATTTGTCTGGAATCATACGATTTTATCAGATCCAATGGCATGATATTCCATATGATGTCCGCAATAGATATCGAAAAAGGTAGGATATAATAAGTGCAATAATTACATACATAAAAGAAACAGATATTTTGCTATATATTTACTATTGTTTTTATTAGTAGTTATATTAATTTGTACATATTTCAATTTTCAATGCAAGTTTAACAAATTTGATTATTTCTATCGCTGCATTATAAAAGTTCACCTGACTATCAATAGATGCCCTCGAAAAGTTCGAAGATATAGGGATTAAAAATCCTCAGTGTTAATTACTGTTAATAACATAATAGCACTTGACTGTTTTCTTATAGCATTAAAAAACTTCATGCTTCATATGTTTGTTTAAAGAATAAAAGTATTAAATGATTAATGTGTTTTTCGACATTTTAGTAAAATATCGAAAATATTTACACATTAATCATTTAATTATATTTTAGTAAATTATCGAATCATTACAAAATACATACAGCAATTAGAAAGTGACGCGTTACTTGTAACGCTGTTATCGTTTTTATTACTTTTTTTTCAGTAACAATCGTTACTTTTTTCTGTCTGTAATGGTAACAATAATGTCATTACATTTTTACAGTAACAATAAAATTCAATCGTTATTTTTGTCGTTATTTTAATCTCTTATTATCTTTAAAACTATTTAATAGATTACATTATTTTTAATGGTTAGAAACGCTTTATATTTAAAAATTTTAATATCGAAAAATATTTTGTACTTTAAATTTTGTAGAATAAAATATTATTCCAAAAAAATGAAAAATGTACACTTTTGAATAAGAGTGGCAGATTTTCAATTTTTTTGAAATAATATTTCACTACAAGAAATTTAAAGAGTTTATAACTAATCTGTGCTTCGCGGGTTTTCTCCATGTCTTGGTCCATTCTTGATGTGCCAACGTTTCGTGGGCCTTGCAGTCCACTTCATCAGGGCGATGAATCAGGATGATGAAGTGGACTGCAAGGCCCACGAAACGTTGGCACATCAAGAATGGACCAAGACATGGAGAAAACCCGCGAAGCACAGATTAGTTATATAGAAAGCACCCATGGAAGCATCAAGAAGATTAAAGAGTTTATATTTTAGGCTGCATTCCGATAATCACTGCCAATGAAAATTATATGTAACATGAACTATAAATTTTCAATATTAAAATGCACTCTTAATAACGACATTAATATTTAAAAACAATATTTAATTAAAATTTTTAATAAAATCTGCGCTTTTGTTTCTTTTGTAAATTACAATCTAATTTCCTAAAGATAAGCATATATTAAAAAATAACAATATTAATAGAAAGTTATCGGAAATTTATTGGATATAAATTTAATATAGGTAAAGAAAAACTATAAGCTATATAAACTAAAAGCTAAAAGCTATCAGCTTAAAATTTTAAGTTTTAATTGATCTTTACAATTAATATTAGTTATTAAATAATGCAATTTTTTAATTTAATATCTTACTTTTACATTACAAAATAATAATGAATCATTACTTTTTAAAATGCCGGTAACGTGTTAGTTTTATGAATTAATATTCCCAACTCTGGATATGCCTACATAAGATCTGCTGACAAGCGTGAACATGCCGGTTATAAAATTTTGGAATATTCAATAGCAATCTGAAAGCATAAAGACATCGATTACGGTTTGTGACGATGAAATACTATGACGCTAATTGCCATTAATGTTCGTACGGATCCGTGTTTTATGTAAACTATCCTGATGATTCTCGCAAAAATATCGGAATTAAAAACAGAACTGTTAAAACCAAAACGATGAACACGTAAACGATGTACATGTAAAGCGCGACAACCTGTTCACGGTAAATTCACCTAAATGTAGACATAAAACACAAACCTAAAACGAGAATCATAATGCAAGCAGTGTAAGAAATTCTTTTACCTTGCGCAATAATCACGCAGAGATTTAAAAAACAGATATTTTGCTTTATACAGGATTTATTTATTTGCAGCATTTTTATTACTAGATATTATCTCAATTTTTATATATTTAAACTTTTAAGTTTGACAGATTAGAATATTTCGCTACGTTAAAAAAATTTAATTTTATAATGACAATAGATATCCAGAAAATTTAAGTATAGACTGTATTAATTATAAATAAGACACTATTTTACGTACTAATGTTATTTATCGTTCGGAGATTTTCTACTTTATAAGCAATCTAAGTGAGATAATTATATAAACAATAAATAAAAGAAGCATGCAGCCACACGCAGGATGTTCTTAGCGAACGTCATATATTTCTAAAATTGTACATTAAAATACAAATTCATAAACCTTTCGGCCTTTATTACGCCATCTTCATATGTTGTATGTAAACGATAATTTGTGTATGTGTGTGTGTTGTCATATTAATAAAATTAATTACAAGTTACTAAGTTATGATAATTCGTTATCATATAAAATTGTTAAATGGTATAATTTATTATCGTAATATAAAAGTAATTATTTTGGTCTTCTATGATTATTTATGTCTTTGTTTGTCCTTTGATAGATTTTTTTATGAAACCGTTGTGTGAAATATATACAACAATGTCAATTACATATAAATATAATTGTCATTGTTTGTTAGATGAAATGTACCTCCAATTTCGTACTAAAGTATTGCCAGTTTCGAAATTCAAACTTCTTAATCCATAGCGCAAAATACGGAAACCGCCGTTTGTTCTGCACTACCAATACAACGGACTCGCATTCGGCAAATGAGGAGCGGAGATTTCGGCAGCTGTGGATTCCGATAATGGACAGTGGATGTGTTCAATGGAGGCGGCTGACGCTGGCGAGATAAGCGCGGTTGCATTGGTCACAGTAACAGGTTGGGAAACGCTCGTTATTCAATGGAATTATGCAACGAGTTTGGCAGACACGTACTGACTCTATTCCTAAGCTATAAAAAGTATCATAAATGAATACATTTGAATCCAAAAATACAATATAAACACTTTGATTGGTAAAATATCTAACATACATTTCACTAAAAATGTAGTAACATTACCATTTAATATTTTGTTGACCAGCATATTTATATTATGTTTTTCTCATTAAATAATTTTATACATAATATGCATTGATAATGCAAGTGAGATCGAGTTAATTATTTATTTATTTTTATTTATTCTTTTTTATCTTTCGACTATCTATTCTCTAATTCGAGCTTCATGATTTTGTCGCTTTATTTATTTTTTACTTATCTTTTGATTTAGACTCTCTAATTTTTAATTTTTAATTTTTAATCTTTAGATGACAAAAGTACGTAAGTATTTTTTTAAACACAGTCATAATATTTGCAATACAGAATTATTTATATATCCAGAGAATTAATTCCCTCGAGCTAGAAAAAAAGAAATAGAATTCTAGAATATATCGTCGACGTCGTTACCAGCAGTGAGCTTAATAGCGCTTCTTTCATGAGCCAACGTATAATCGCGAAACTAATTAACTAAGTAATCTCGAGATGAAGAGATAACTAAGTTATTTGCTGGGATAGCCTGCAAACGCGCAACGCTTGACAGGCTCTAATGCAACGGTTACTTAAAAAGTGCTAATGTCTGCTTATACACATATATATATATATATATATATATATATATATATATATATATATATATATATATATATCAAGATTAATATAATTATTAAGTTAAAAATTTAAATTTTCTTATAATTTTAACAGACACTATATAAATTTCAGAGTACTTAATTGTCACACAGTGAAAATTATCTCGGAAAATATAAATATTATTTTACTTTCTTTTATCATTTTCATACAAAATAAAAATGTAACGAAATTTGTTCTACGGAAATATAATGATATAATATATAAATTTTATTTATATCTGAAAGACAGATAAATCGTATATGATTTATCTTTAAAATGTATATTACATGTCTATCTTTTAAACGATAAGAGAAAAGACAAGTGACTAAAAGAAATATCATATTTACCCAGACAGCATAGCTGTCAAAATCGAGATATATAAGATGTCTCAAAAACGTCTTTAAGATATCCTATGATACGATGTCTAAAAACATATATTTTAATGTTGCACCTTTAGAATGTCTTATATTCCAATATGATATACTATCTAGATAATTAAATATTTAAATAGAAATATAATATTTAAAATTGTGATATTTATTATTCCGGTGTGTCTTTGACAGTTTTTTGCAGAGAAACAGATAATCTATGTATACAAATATAATCGACGATAAACAGTATAGAAACTGATAAGCATTTCCTTTATCCGCTTTGCTTATCCACTTTGTGTTTCCGATTTACGAGAAAGAAGCGAAATTATACACGTCGTTGACACGTTATTAGACATTTCCTTCCAATGAGACACGCGGTATAAACGGCTTTTCAGAAACCTACCGGTGGCCGAACAGACGGAAATAGCTGTCAGCCCTCGAAATGATCCTGTTCTGTCTTGCCACATCCTTCCGCGTATGCTGGACAGAACAGTTCATTACTGCCGGTGGATCCGCCCCGACGGATATGGAATTTACAATGACATAAGCCATCGATATACGACCAACAGCAGCTACTCCGAGTGCAGATTAGTCATCCTAGGTAAGTACCATGAGCACGGAGCCATATTACGTGCGTAGTAATGTAACAAAGTCACCCTAATTGCCATGCTATGTGTGTGTGTACGTACGTCGCGTATGTTGCCAAACGAACCGCGCGTAAATCACTATTACATTAATATTAATTAACGACGCGTTGCAATTGCAGTTTCGCGAGATGCGCGTCATTTTGAACTTCAATAGTATTATAACTATATATATATATATATATCTCAATAGTTTGATTAAATAACTTAGATGTTACGGGATTAAATAAAATAGAATGTAATGCAAAATTCCCCTCCCCCTCTCTCTCTCTCTCTCTCTCTCTCTCTCTCTCTCTCTCTCTCTCTCTCTCTCAGCACTTGAAAAAATGCTATTCTATAGAATAAATATAGTGATCTATCTACATTTACCTGTCTCACTCTATCTTTAAAAGTTTTTAATAAAAAAAAAAATTAAAATAATATGTACTATTTAATATATAGGTAAAATATAAAAGAAGTTCAAGTTAAAATTGAAGATTACTTAAAGGTTTTGTTTATGTTAAGAATTTTTTTAATATGTATAACGATTTAGAATATATATTTTTAATTATATATGTATAATATAATTAATATATTTAGTTTATTTTGATTGGTAATTATGCATACCAAGGCCTTAGTGAAACAGATTTCAGTGACATATGTTGTGGACCTTGCTTTTCGTGGAAAGTCGTTACAAAATTATAAATATTATGTTCTATTTATATAACTTATTTTATTAATATACCTTTTAATGAATAACGAACGACGGTTAAAACCTGTTGGACGTCAAAGTCATTAAAATCTGTAAAGTTGTCCTTGAGAGAGCGATATTAATATGCATAATTACTTTTTATTAATTTTATTTAAAATATATACTGCGTATATATACTTCTTCCAAATAAAAAAAATTTCTTATAATATAATATACATATATTCGGTACTAAAATAAATACAATATTTTAAGAAAAATACAAAATACATAGCATAAATATATGTTTAATAAAATTTGAAGAATTTCTCAACAGAAATCACTGTATGTTGTTAAATATATTAAATTTATTTATCATAATTTTAATATATTTATTGCGTTTATAAAATTAGGTAATTATAAACTAGATAATCTTATTTATTGTTAGCAGTTAATATCTAATATATATATGTATATATATATATATATATATATATATATGTGTATATATAACTTATTTAAATGATATATCTGAGCTATTCTAGTCATCCTACGCATAAATATTTTAAAATAAGCTTTGCAGAGATAGATTATTATTTCATCGGCATTAATTAACGTCACGTCACGATTGCAATTCGCGCAATATAGCTATCCTTCATTCAATTTCAATATTGTCGTGATTATTTCAATATTTCGACTGAATAACTCAGGACAAATCCGCTTACTATGAACCCGTTACATTAATAATGATTAACGACGCGCCGCTATGCAGTCGATTACGCGATATGTATGCGCGGTGACCATATTTCCATATCATTTTGCGATCATTCCGATATTCTAATCAAATAACTCTGTATACGTCCGTTACAATTCTATTTTAAAGTACACCACGCGACATAACATCATACGAAAGTTACACCGGATGCCGATTGATCGAATTCTACTCGAATTCGCGAAGAAAAATTACTCCATAGTCGGCCGACTTGGTCGGTGACTCACAGTTGAGAAATCACGATCTATCAGTGGAGATTCAGCGCGAGTCCTCCGTAAACATTCGACGACGAGCTAAACTTTGCCGGCGATGGAATAAAGAACTGCGAAATTCCACACTCCGAAAAGTTATCCGTCTTTATGCCGGAATACCAACTACTCGATGTACTCGCGCCGAATGAAATCAATTCTTGACGAAACATCCATAAAATAGAGAAAACGCAAGCTCCCTTCTTAGCCGTTCTCCTTCGTTTTCTTTCAGTCGTGTCTTCGTGGACTCGGGAACTCAATGAATTCCCGCGACAACCGATTCCCGTTTATCCGATCCGTCCCCATAGAGTCTCGCAGGAGTTTCTTTCTTCTCACCAACTACTGTCGCTTTATATTCATTTCCAGACGAGAAACTCTCTCAATAAAGACAACAGTAACTGGACTTGCGTAGCTGTTTTTTTGTAAGAACACACGAGCATAAAATAAAGATTAGTTACAGCAGCAAGAATCTATGTCCAGTAGTTAAATTTCAGTTGTAATATATGAATAAAGTATTCATAAACCGGGATTACTTTGCCAACTTTACCCCACTGTTTAAATGTTATCAGAAGATGAAAAAGCAACCAGTAGTACCATAAACGACCATAGATTAACAGAAAATTGTGGTTAGATATTATTCCTTATTTGAAAATCATTAGGTTGAGGATGATTGAAACTTTTTTAAATAGGTTGTGTAAAATTAAACCCTGATAGTAAAGTAAGTCCTGTTTACGGTATCTAAAACTTTAGCAATGTAGTCAATTTTGATTAGCTGTAGATGTTATAGGATAATAAAAACGGTTATAAAAATTTAGCTGTGACAGACACTTTAATAATAGAACGTGTTACAACGAGCTAACGCGTACATAATTTCACTAGATAGACACAAGTTTTAATGCTTCTAATATTTTAAGTGCCATTATACTAACGCATTTAGGCTGTATAAATTTTTAGAGGAATGTCATATCTCTAAATTAATTTTTGTACAGAAATCGTAATACATATCTCATTTATTTTCATCATGAAACTATTGTGGATATTCGCCTCCGAGAAATCTTTCTTTAAAATTATGATGAAAATACTTATAATAACCGCATTCAGCTGAATATTTATTTTGCAACTGTTGAAAGTTTCTTCGTTAAGATAGAACTATTTCTCTAAAAAAGTATAATTCAATCAGGACGAAGAAAACTTCCAACAATTGTAAAATAAGTTCTGCTGAACGCGATCAATGCTACACCTTTTATCCTATTCTGAGTAAGTATTTTTTAAATTCGAGAAGTTTAACTTTACCGCTCGCCATTTCACGGCGGTGTTACGTATTGCTCGTTTAATAAAAAATATAGTTTAAACATCGTTTAATAAAAAATATACTTTTTCATCATTAAATATTTAGCTATTGTAGTCGGTATCACATTGATATTTTTGTCTTGATGATTTTGATTATGCCTGAGACAAATACATTTTCCATCGATTATTACAGAGTAAGCTACCGATAAATATCTTGCAGAAATATTACTCCTCAAAATTGCTTCAATCTAAGCTCGACACAAGAGAATATACTGATAAGAAGGATAAATATTAATTATATTATTATAATAATCAATCTGATTACGTAGAGTTGATTATATTATTTACAGACAAGAAATGCTTAATTTATAAAGAAAAAAATTAGAAAGATTTATTAGTATTTTTAAAAGATATCAAACGATTATTATTAATCGCTTCAATTCTTTAGATTAATTTATATTTTTCGTGTAAAAGATAAGATTCTGAAAATCTTTGACTTTTTAGTAATTATATTCTTTATGTTGACGAAATATTTGATCTTTCATCACTTTCTTTATTTCCATAATAATTTATTCGCATGGTTCTTTTAATGAGTAAGAATCGAATACTTTTTTCGTATTAATATATCAAATAAGATATGTGGATATATTAAAATGAAATAAATACATGTACGATTAGCTATTTGCGTTATATTACGCAAAAATATTTTTTATATTTATTTAACAACAATAAATCTACTATTTAAAATTTTAAATGCGAAAAAAATGAAGCTTGGTTTATTACAGAAAAAGTTTTTCTATATATGAAAAAGGACGTGAAATAATGCATTATTTTAAAAAATTGTAATATGTATTTTAAACATCAAGTACTAATTATACACATTTAAAGATAAAAGTACTTACAATTTCATATATATCTCTTTAAGAGTTTTTTTACATCTATATATCGCAAATAATAAGATCGATTAGTCGTGTCTATGAAAAATTACGCAATTATAAAAAAAGTTCTTTAAAGACTTTTTTTCCATATTAAACATTAGTTCTTGTTAGATTCAAATTAGATCCAAAAGTTCTGATTCAGTTTCTGATTCAGAATCCAGTCCGGGAAAAACTCGTAAAAGTTCACCTGGACGGACGTGTAACTGTAAACTCATTTCTAGACTTTAATTCTCGAGATCAATTTCGAATAGAACATCCAGTTTGGCAAATACACGTCTTTAAGCTGGATTTCAGATGTCCATCTTAACGAATTCCTCGCACTGCACACTCCTGGAGTTCCATTCGAGATAGACTTTTGTGTCCACACACGTTAATTTCCTGAAGTCATTAGTCGTGAAACATGCTACCTCTTTGAGATTTATCGAAATCGCGACTGTAAGATTTATCCGATACCAGTAAAGTTTCTCCTATCCACTCCTCGAACCAAAGCGCCGGACTCGCGACTCAAAAGAATCTCAATATTGATCCCAATTCTCCGCTTATATCTGACAGCCTCAACGAATCAAAGTCCGTCCTGTAATTGGAAACGGCAGCGACTTGTTCGGCTGGAAGATTCACGACTGAATTGCTGTAGGAACACAATTTACGATGGCGCAGGCGGATAGTGGAAAGAAAAGGGCAGCTATCTTGGCGCACCGCGCCGCGCCGGTGTAACTTTGATATTCCTTGGGCGAAGGAAGATATGCTAACGATCTGTAAAGAGCACGGCGTTGAAGCTGAGCAGAAATTTAGCCTTCGTCAGGGTTCACCGGATAAATCGTAAGCGAAATTAATCGCTGCATTCTTGCGGTTGCGCAGTCAATACATAATATTCGATGTATCGATGTGCAAAAGACAAAGCTCAAATTACAGTATTAAAAAAAAATCGAATACACAATTCGGAAAATTCTTTAAACATTGAGAGATACTTTTGCTTTTTATAAATGTATTAATCTGCAATAAAAAAAAAACTTAAATTACAATACTAGAAATAAATGAATATTTTATTCAAAAAATTCTCTAAATTTTGAGAGATATCCTTTTTTGTAGATCAATTAGATTTTTGGTAAAATTGATAGTTTAATGTGAATTAATAATTCAGCGAAATATTAATATTAATAAATATATACTTTGTGGGATAGGTAATAATAAATATCGATGCAATATTAATTATAATGTAACGTCAGTGTAATATTAAGTTGATTGATTATATATTCGGTTTAGAGTTTATGAAATAATATTTTTATTATCTTTGATTAAGCAAAGTATTATACTAATTTAAAAAATTTTTTTAATTCATATCATTCATATTGGACATCAAACAGAATGCAGCTGTAAGAAGTTACATACTTTCTCGACATTAAAAAATTATTGATTTTTGAGAATTTTGAAAAAAAAATTATTATTTACAAAAAGGACATATTTTATTAATTATTATTAATATATTATAATTTATTAATTATTTAATGTGTAAGAAATATTTTTTTAAAACCGTTTTGACTCACATTTAAATTGAATTTTCCGGAGGGCTGTTCTCGGGTCATCCGATAAAACACCCTTTCAGTCTTAGTGCTCTAGAATTCTACAAACGAAAATAAGAAAAATAATTACGAACTCTAAGATTATTTTATTAAGACCTGAATTTCAAACGGGCTAGATTTCAAAATTTTATAAAAATTGAAAAGTTATACCATTTACAAAAAATGTTTTTATTTTGTTAGCAAATTTTCGACCTTTAAATATTTATAAAAAAGATTATAAAAATGGCTGTAATAAAATATTTAAAAAATGACCAGACAAATTAGAGAAAATAACAATTTAAAAATTTATTTTATCAAAAAATAATAAAAACTGTTAGGAAATAAAGATTAAAAGGATAAGACTTTTGAAAAACATGATTTCGAGAAAAACGCGTTTAAAATTTGACAAAGAAAATTTAAATCATACGAATATTTAATTTTTGAATAACTTATTCATATTACACTTATTCGCATTAAGATTTTTTCCTATATCCTAAATAATTTAAAATTTAAAAAGAATTGAAATTTGAAAAAGTTTTTTAAAAATTGAGAAATCCGTGCAAGGAGAGAATGATTTTGCTCAAAAATCTAAAAATTTAGTTAGTTACAGATTTGAAAATAAAGTTAGACTATCAAAATTTTTAAGTAGAATAACAAACTGATTGCTAGTATGTCAAAAAATTGTAATCATTTTGTTAGATCATCAAAACTTTTAGGTAGGACAGTAAAACTGATTCCTAGAATATCTAAATTTTTTGACATTCTAGCAATCAGTTTGAGTGTCCTACCTAAAAATTTTGATAATCTAATAAAATTAGTTTCAAATCTGTATCTAGCTAAATTTTTTAATTTTTCAGCAAAATCATTTTCTACATGTTGCATATAATACCATGCCACATATTTTACATATTAATGAAAGTATTGATACCCATTTGACACTTAATTCTTATATTCATGTTATACATATAGAAGGTTACGAAACTATTGAAAACATCGTAAAGAGAGAACGAACAAATGTCGGAAAATAATATAACTGCGATAAATCCGAGCGTCGAAGTGAATTTGTCCATCGGCAAGCGAATCGTGGAGGAAAAAATAATTTCAGTGCAGACTGCTGTTGACAGTTTTCGTTCGTTAAGGACTGAATTTGTAAGCACTCGATTTCGCGAAACTCGATTTTCTTGTCGAGGCCCGGGGGAAAAAAATAGGACGGAGCTCGCTCTTTTTCGCGCGCGACGATTTCGGAGAGTGACGGAATTATTTCCGCTCGCAGCTAGTCGATAACGAGTTATTGAACTCGAAGGATAGAAATTGTTGTTCGCCATTCGCGAAGACTGACGTTACGATGTACAAAACGAAATGGTAAATGCAAAACATAGTCATCAAGTCTAAGAAATTAATTAACCCTCTTGGAGAAACAGCGACGAATATTTTAATATGTTAAATACAGTTTATTATTTTAGATTTGTTATTTTAAATAAGGTCGCTTCCAAGTTAATCAAACGGTCTCATTAAAATTAAATGTTGTGAGTCGCATTACATATTCTCTGATATCGCTGTTTTACATTTTACAGCAACAAATGGAAAAAAAAATACTAAAAACTGAGATTAATTGATTTGATTGTATCAAATATTCTTTACGTTAAACTAACACTGTATTTTATATTCATTTTTCATACATTATGCAAGCGGATATAAAGAGCAAAATGTGCGGGCTCGGACAATTTTACCTTCCGTCACTTTTTGCGTTGCTCATCAACGTTTCCATATCACGTATCGGTTTATGTACTCGAAAGTATCAAAGGTGTTCATTAACGTTCACATTAATAACGCAATTTATATGTAAAATCTCGAAGGAATATATCAAAGGCAAACAAAATTCTTCAACAAGTCAAACGCTTTCCTCTGCTTTACGTTCATTAGATACGTATTATTATGACGATGAATCGATACTCGTTTATCCACGAGATGGAAAGAGATTTCTCGGTTTTAAAAGGCAGTTTTTGGATTTAATCTTGGAAGAGCTTATTTTCACGAAAAGCATATCTCTCGAGTATTCGATTAGTGACATGGATTAACGCGAGTTGAAAATCGCAAATTCGAAAATATCATCGACTTGGAAATCATAAATTTGAAAATATTCTCGAATTCTTGGAAATCGTAAATTTAAAAATATCACCGGGTAACTCTCATGATGGTTATTATTACAGCTAGAATTAACTTATCAAACATCGAAATAATCAATTGTATATAGTTACGTATCTAAAAATAAATATAAGCTTTTTTAATTATTAACATTTTTATCATCAAATACCTTTTTTAATAGAGAAATGACATTTTAATGTTTATATTCTACTGTTTAAAACTTTTGTAATGATGTTTAAAACTACTTAAAGCTCTGTTATAAAGTATCGTCCGAGGTCAAAGTTCTTTTTCTGCATGGTTGACCTAAGCAGATTTTTTTCCACATCGCGCCGTAAAGAATAAATTATAGTGTGCTATGTCAACCGTTCAGCGCGGAAGTACTTAATCAGACTTGTGTTTAGCCAGTTATAAATTATATCTCGCATTAATAAGCCATGTTTAACGTGGAAAAAGGTAAAAAGATTCGTGTATATATTGGTGGACTAATTTATGCTACGATCGAATAATTGCCGTATCAAACGAGTTATAAGTGTTTGAATTTTGAAACTGTATCAGTAATCAAAATTTTATTAATATAAAAATATAATAATGATTTTTTTCGATTTTGTTTAATTGCCCTAAAAATGGTTTAACAATAATATATAAAAATATTTAATAATTATTCAAATACATAAAAAGGACAATTTTATTAAAATATCTAAAAATTTAGCTAAATATAGATTTGAAAATAATTTCGTTAGACTATCAAAATAATTAGAATGTGAGAAACTCAAGCATGATGAGCAATGCTGCAGATAACTTATATTTTAGCAACCAATTTGAGCATGCTATATAATTATTTTGATAATCCAATAAAATTATTTTCAGATCAGTATCCATAGCTAAATTTTTAGATACTTCAGTAAAATCGTTTTTTCCTTGTATATGCTTTATGTTAACTATTATAAATAATAATTATGAAGTTATAGAAACATGAATACGCAAAAACATATTTTGCTGCTCCAACTAGAATTATAGCTGTTTTTCGTATCTGAAAATTATGTATCATACGCATAGAATTTATTTAGCACAAATCTAAATTCTCTGTCATCTACATGATTAGATGCAACACATATCCAAGTGCATATTGCAGTACTTACTAAGAAATTTATCTATTTTAACTATTTTTCGTACTTAGATAATTTTCGTTATAACTGCAAGATCATTTTTCTGAGTGAAGATAATAGTAATTAGGTACTTAAATTCAATAAACACACTCATTACATAATCAATTTATTGTTATTTGTTTCAGTTTAATGACAATACTTTCACAATATATATAATAACACAAGCAATACTTCACTTTTACTTATCAAAAAAGTTCGATTGTTCGAACCTCTCGTACAGTTGACAATCCATCTCTAACTTGATTCTGTATTCGACATGAAGTTTCTACATCTCCGAGTTTAATGCGATGTAAGGCCGTTCAGTTCTAAGCTTGCGCACGCACGTATGTAGGTGTATCCTTCCATCGCCTCTTCTCTTCTGCGTGCAATAATATTCCATTTGCGCGTACGACGATTATGCGAGCGCAGACAATCAACGTGCTTGCGTGTGCAGCTTCCTCCCGCGGGCGATTATCCCTCGTGCTTTGTGGACCTCTCTCTCTCTCTCTCTCTCTCCCCCCTCTCTCTTTCTCTCTCTCTCCCCTCTCTCTTTCTCTCTCTCACTCTCGCTTTATCTTCCGTGATTCTCATTCACGTGCGTATCTCTTCGTACCGCAATAACAGTGGTGCCGCGTGGCGCGGGATAATAAGGAAGGATAAAGCACGCCGAGTGTGTGCGAAACTTCCGGCGAGAACCAATTAGAGACAGACTCAGGAATCTGACAGGAGTCGACTGAGTTACACGGCTTTGTTACGTAAATCCTATCCGTCGGAATGGAGGGTTGATGGTGAAGAAAGTTTCTTTCGCAAATAATTTGCGATTCTCCGCGAAACAGAAGTAAAGGTTGTCGCTTTTAGGTCGGACCGAACTGGACTGAAGAGAGAGAGAGAGAGAGAGAGAGAGAGAGAGAGAGAGATTATTTTCTGTGTGTGGTAATTTATTTCATTGTTTCTGCATGTAAAAGCACTGAAGCGAAGCGAGAACTAAAATTGACGAGAGAGCATTCGAGAGGCACGTGTGCGTACAACGGTGATGTAACGATACCGTTCGTTGACTTAAGGTAATAACCTTTGTATATGTACATATGTACGTATGCATATATGTACTTATGTATGTATGTGTATGTGTGTGTGTATGTGTGTGTGTGTGTGTGTGTGTGTGTGTGCGCGCATGGATTGTGGAAATTATGGAACATGTTGTGTATGCGCTTGCATTGGCATTGACATGTGGCGCGCGAAGGGAGGAATCCATCAAAAGTGCATCATTAATTTAATTAAAAAATTTATCTATATCTCTATTAATTTGAAAATGATTGATGACTCAATCTACAGTCACTTAAATCGACTTTGATAAAAATTATTTTTAAAAAATTTCTTCTCTGTTTTAAAATGGTTCTTTAGTAAAGCACCGAAAATTTGAGGTCTCACCAAAATTACAAATATATATAATTTGGAAATAAAGTAGAACTATGTGTATCTTAATGAAATAGTATGAAATACTAAATATAGTAAATCAAGAACTATATCTTCATCAAAGGAAAATATAGTGACATTATTTTTTAAAGTTAAATTTGTGTGCAGATTTATTATATAAATATCTTTCCAGAATAATCGTGGACCTATTACTTTTTGGACATTACAATCATAATTTAAGTATTTTAATCTCATTTTTTAGTGAAGTATCCATGATAATATTTGTATGCAGTTAGTTAAAAAAGCGTCTCCAATTATCCTTATCATCAAGTTATATTAAAAGTTACATTTTCAATATTTTTTTCTTTTTCATTTTATGAGAAACCTACATCGTTAACCTATTCTAGAATTTTGCACACATCAAATTTGGTACTTTACTACATCATATAAAGAAATTAGATATTTCAATGATAACTCAATTTGTAGAGTTATAATTGAAATATCTATTTTTTTTTATATAATGTAGATAAAGTATTAAACTAATTCTAAAGAACTTTAAAAACTGAAACTTAACTTGATTAAACATTATTTCAGCATCATTAAAAATCTCTTAAATTACAAAGATTAACGGAACATCCAATCCAAAATAATCCAAAGAACATTGCAAAAACATTAAATTTTATTCCAGCGAAAACAGTATATTCTGTACACGATATCCGTGCATCTGGTCACAATATCATCGAGCCTCAGATTGCAGGCAATGAAAAAGAAACGACGCAGCGAAGATTGCCGGTGCTTTAGTAATTTCGCCGGATTAATATTTAATAACCGGAAAGGCCGCGAAGGGAGCCAAACGAGGGCAAGCACCTTATCTCTTCCCTCTTCCCTTCTTTCCTCAAACAGATCAGATTTCTGCAACTCTCTTCCAGTTGATCCCTCTGTCGTCGACGTTATCTCCGACAAGGGCTGACACATGCACCCCTATTTCTCTACTCATTCAGGGCTGCAACCCTTGACCTTGTTTTAGACGGCTCGTAGAAATAATGAAACAATCCGACGCTTCTCATTTCATCGCCAGCTTCTACGATGAGAAAGCAAGTCGATTGAGGCTTACAGACGTACACGTATTGCTCGCCCTTCCATTTCGCGCACCGCAATCGCGATGAGTTTCCGTCCGACAGTCGCCGAATATTATTGCGGAAATATTGCGGTAGATATTGAAACTGCTGAGCGATACTCACACGTATTATGACTGCCACGGCTTAACTGGAAAAAGTACATGTATTGACTGCGATATTATTCCGCAATGATCTGCCATTCTGAGAAGAGTACTGAGAAGAGTAAGAATGGAGCGAATGAATAAAACGATAATTATACTCTATTGTATTATGAGAGTGATTATGCATTTCTAGAACAGATCTTAAGAAAAAATTGACGAGACATGTCTCTGTAAATGTATCAAGTTTATAGTCTCTGTAAAAAGTGACTGGAATTAGAAATTTATATTTTCTGTATAAAAATAAGTTTAATATTTATTTAACAATTTTATATACTTATACAATTTTATACAATTTTAGTTATTTTAATTATTGTCTATATTTTATTAAATTTTATTAAAAACACATTTACTTATTGAAATAATTTTTAATCCAGATTCTACATTGTTGCCAAACATTTTTTATATTTTTTTTTTCGAATTATAATCTAATATTTTAATTTTTTTTTATTTCATTAAAAAATACAATAATATGTTTTTAATTCTATGTTGGCTCACGTTGAATTATTTTGATTTTCTGATTTATTTTTTGGAACTTTACTTCGGTTATATATTATATTATTCTTAATTTTGCATAAAAAAATGTTTCAAAATATTCTTGATATTAAATAAAATGCTCTACGAACAAAAATTTTTAGAATACTTATACGTATAACGAGAATTGATTAAAATATAAACTTCTCTTATAATAAATAAAAGTTGCAAAATATCAATAGTACCAATTTAATTTTTTACATGCAAGATTTTAAAATAATAAAATTATACAATGTGATATTTACTTAAATCCATATTTCTGTTTATATTTTAATCAATCCTCGTTATACGTATAAGTATTCTAAAAATTTTTGTTCGTAGAGCATTTTATTTAATATCAAGAATATTTTGAAACATTTTTTTATGCAAAATTAAGAATAATATAATATATATTTATTTTAAATATTCAAGCATTAAATATTATCTGTTCATATATGAGTTATTATATATAAAATCATTTATCATTTCTTATACATGTATTTATACGAAGCATCTTATTAAAAATAATACTATTTACAGCAGGCTGTACAAAGCATCTTTTAACTAATTGAACAGCTTAAGGGAACATTTATAATTGCGAGTACATGGTCGATGTCAATGTTAACGTGTTCTTGTCACAGATCTTTCTGGCTCATTTATAATTTCAGTTCGAATTGAACCTCGAAACAGAGAAAGAGAAGGGAAAAGGGTGCGAATGTCAGTCTCACGTCGAAACGCGCAATTGTCGAGGCCGACCCCGCTTTCCGGATCGTCCCTACGTGCGGCTTTTGTAAAATGTTGGCAGACCACACTGTGCCGCGAGAACAAGCGTCGCTCGACTATCTCTCACCCCCGTTTCAATTATCTAATTGAAAGTGACGGCACGCCGCTCGGGGCCATCCACCCCCCCGGTCGTTCTCCGCACGTTCTCCCTCGCGTGCTTTCCGCACAACGATTCCACACTCCAGATGCGTGTAACCTCCGATAAATCGTTCCGCACTTCTGGAGAAGTCTCTCGCCCTGTCTCTCTCTTTCTCACTCCCTTACCACTGCGCCGGCCAATAACAGTTAAAGATCCCCATCTGCTTTGTTCCCAGCTGGGCACGAGCGAGCGGGCTGACCAACGAAGGCAATCAAGCCCTTCGGGCTTTGCTGACGCGGGTGTCCGCGGCTCCGCAATTACAACGTGCGCCTCGTTACACGCGTGCGTCGCTACAGGGGTGATACATCTCTTCATGCTTGTCCTGATCCTGGTTTCCCGGTAATCGCGTGGGTGCCACATCGCCATCGGATAATATCTAGTTCCGGCGTTTCAACAGAACCGAAGAAATTGAAGTAGCTCGCAGTCACAAGTGTTTCTTATTTTCTTATTTGTTTCTCTGTCGTAATAACAATTTTTGCATAAAACTAGTTTATGGAAGATCACAGTATCTTGTGTTTATTCTGTTGTGTAAGAATATGTAATAAGAGATAGCGTTTCTTCTACCTTTTAAAAAAGTAACAGCTCGTATAATAAGCTCGTATAATAAGAGCAAGATTAAAATAGTTGATAAAGCTTATTTTATATTAATCTAATAATAAGATGAATGTCTAAAATTGTATTAATTTAATCTAAATCTATAATTTAGAGTAAATATCTATTTTAGATTAATATAAAATATGCTTTAATTATTTTATTATGTTCTTATTATACGATCTCTTACTCAAAATACTTTTCTCAATAAATGAAAAAAATGCTTTCTTTTTCTCAAACTAATATGTTTATAATCATTAGTCTTATATGTTTAACACTGAGGATGATCCGATCGGAGTCGAAAGGTCGCGTCGTTTGTTATAACTTTCATGTATAGCACTACTTTTATATTTATTACCTTTTGTTAATATATATTAAATATATTAAATCTATTATTTTTAGCTCGTAGCCCTTCTCAACATATTTCATTAAATTTTATATTAGTTGACCCATATTATATCAAGTACTAATATTATATGTATTGAAAATTAAATATAAACTTAAATAATGATTAAGGAAGAGAAATGATATCCATAAATGATCATGAAGAAGATAATGTAATAAAAAATAGATTTAATATATAATGAATTACAATGTTTTTGTAATAATAAGGAAAGAAAGCACAGGAAGATATCAAGTAACAATTTTATTTTTACAGAGACAAAAATGTTATGTGCATATATATATGTATCTTGTCTCTTGTATAATGAAATTACACAATAATATAATAAAAAATTTAAATCATAGTTTGAACATATCTAATCTATAAAGAAATTAATTTTAAATATCATTTCTATTAAAAAATGTTAGAATATTTTCCTAAACATAGTTTACATAAAAATTTCCTCTGACATTCTATTTACTCTCTGAAAACATCTTTAAGCTCCTTTATTAAATAAAAATATCCATTTTTATTTATTTATTGTCTAGATCCTAAATAGATACTTTGAAAGAAATTTAACAATTTTTTAAGTTACAAAATTCTCTTTCTCTCTCTCTCTTTTTCTCTCTCTTTCTCTCTCTCTCTCTCTCTCTCTCTCTCTCTCTCTCTCTCTCTTTTTATCGAGTTTTTCGATTTGGTAAGATAATCTGTAGATTTCCTGCATCTAGAAACAGTCCTGCGTGTACATACACACATTCACATCATAGAATCGTAGCACATCGTTAGTACATCGGGGAAAACAGCCCTTTTCTACTTCCTCCTTCAGACGTCGCTCGGAGGTAAAAAAGATTTCTGCGTAGCTAAGCTGAAATCATCTCGCGGCTTGTTTGCCGACTTGATATGACAACGGTGATGCGTGTGGAGCTTCGTGGTTCCTAGGAGCTTAGAATTTCTAAATCTCTTT